TGCCTTAGAGCTTATGTCAGAATGTGACCTAGGGGGAGCTAAATCAAGCACTTCTTCTTTGGATCAGAACATGAAACTTACTAGTGTGGAATATGACAAGCTTTTTGCTATGCAAGAACATGATACAGAACTTGAAGACAAAAGAGTGTATTAGAGACTTGTTAGGAGACTCTTGTATTTGGCAATCACAAGGCCGGATATTTTATTTGCAGTCCAAGTCCTCAGTCAGTTTATGAATGCACCAAAACAGTCCCATTATGATGTAGCATTGGGGGTAGTGAGATATATCAAGAATTGTTCAGAACAAGGTTTGTTGATGAGTAGCAGACAAAATAGGAATGTAACTGCATTTTGTGATGCAGACTGGGCATATTACTCACTAACTAGGAAGTAAGTTACAGGTTTCTGCATAAAACTTGGAGACTCCATGATCTCTTAGAAATCAAAGAAATAGAGCACAGTTTCAAGAAGCACAACAGAGGCTGAGTACATAAGCATGGCCACCACTGTGGCTGAGTTAACTTAGATACATGGGCTGCTGGAGGAATTAGGAATGCAAGTTAATTTACCTGTGGAGTTGTACTGTGATAATAAAGCAGTCATACATATTGCTTCAAATCCATTGTATCACGAGCGCACAAAGCACATAAAGATTAACTGCCACTTTATCAGAAAAAAGCTATAACAGGGTATGATTAAAACAACATATGTTCCCGTAAGGATCAAATTGCAGATATACTAACCAAGGTACTTGGAAAACATCTACATAGTGAGATGGTTTGCAAGTTGGGTTTGATTAACGTTTTTTCATCACCCAATTTGAGGGGGAGTGTTGAAAAGAGCAATAGTAGCAATACTTGTACATAGGATGTGGGAGTTGTTCATGTCACTTAGAGTTAGCTAGATTTAGGTGTATAGTTAGTTGAGTGGTTAAGCTAATTAATTGTATTGAGTGAGTAGGCAGTATAAATAAGGATAGAGATTCACGTGTATAATTAGGTTTTTATTTTCTAATATTAGAAGAGAGTATTCTTCTCTTTTTTCTCTCTCTTCGTGTGCATCGTTCCTCTTCGATCAATTCAGCTCATATATTTGTATTGGGAAAAAACTGAATTTATATAAGATGACGTGTCATGACACGTGGACCGGTCAAATAGTCAAAGCGTGGTAATCAGTTAGAAGGCACGAAAAACAACATATGCGGGAGAGAAGATACTTAAAGGCACGAGCTATTATTCAAATGAAATGAGACTCGTACCTGTTCGAGTCATTTAAAGCTCGAAGATCGGAAGGAATTGAAGAAATGAATCTGATAGCGTAAAGGAGTCCAAATTCAGCATTAAATGCCAAATACGTTGAGAGAATTTGTATTTAATAGGAATGATTGAGTAACGTTTCTTTTAATGTCATTTATTGCTCATAATTGCCTCATTAAGACAAAGGCATTACACTTTCTCCTAGAATTAACTATAAAAGGGGAAGGTCTCAACATCTGTAGCACACGAAATATCATTGAGATTATACTGAAATATATACTTATTCATTGCTTTATTGTTGTTCTCAAAGTCTCTCATTTCTTGATTATCAGTAACCCGATCTCTCTCTTAATTTCTAGCTTTAACCAAATATTCAATTTTTTGGTTAAACAATATTCCCTTTCAATAAAAATTTTACGACATAATGAGTAAACTTTAGTGAAATGTACTAGTCGACAAAACTGTCATTAGTTCTTTCTCCATCGCCGTTTATTACCTCATCGGCATAGTTTTCAGAGAAAAAAATGCTTCAATTACAGTGAATAATGTAACGAATTACGTCTTGGACTTTAGCTCTGTCAGATGGAAGCTCACTGTGTTTAAAATGAGTATTGACTTTAGACGGAAGCTCTTTTAATGGACTTAAGCTCTTTTAGATGGTGGGATACTGGGATTTATGTCGGTGCTCCCAGCGTTAAGCCAAGGAATTTTACATCTTCATGTCATGTTTAATTTTTTTAGCAGGTAATCTATTTTGTTTTTAAGATCATAAATTCCACATTTTAAAGTGGTTTACCTATAATTTTATTTCAATTTTACCTGTTAAATATTTTGAGTGACGCGTAAAAGTTATTTATATTGTCAATGCATATAACTTAAACTCTTCGCAAAACTAAAATTTTATAAATACATAAAATATGGGATGTGCCCAATCTAATTTTATAAAGGACATGTATTACTTACTCATTTATTACCAAGCACGGAAACTTTCCCAAACAGTGAAATCCCATTCATCTTGGAAACAAAATTACCATTCACCATCTTCACTAATTAAGTGTAGAATTAAAGCCAGGGGGCAAAACGAAACTGGAAATACTTGGAGGACGAATAAACATAAACGGAAAGTTAGGGGGGAACAAAGACGGGAATAGCGCATCGCGCATCTTCGTAAAAAAAAAAAAAAAAAAAAGAAAATGAGAAACACAACGGCTAGTAAGTAAAACGGTAACCTCCTCAACGGTCGAATAATTCGAAAGTATTCTCCCTAAATTAGACCCAACTCGTAACTTTGTCACTCCGTCTCTCTCCCCTCTTTTCTATTTTTGTTCTATTCTCCTCTTTATACCTCTCAACTCTCCCTCCATTGCTGCTCACATTCCACATATTCTTGCCAATTTTCTGTTCACATTTCATATATTCTTGGCAACATAGCAAGTGCGAATTCAAGACTAATCTAATAGTAGAAAATGTTGCAAGATATGTGGAATGCTCCCCCAGGTTTCAGACCCACGAAATCGGCTCCATCTTCTCCGGCTAAACCCCTTGGAGTCTCAAGAACTCGCTCTGAATCCTTTCACGTTGCCCACAAAGTCCCCATTGGAGACAGCCCTTATGTCCGAGCCAAAAATGTTCAAGTAAGCTTCTTTCTTGCGCTACCCCATATATTCTTTTTGAGTCTTAACCTATCAGAAAATTGCTCATTTGGATGTAGTCGGTAAGATATGGGTTCATCCGAACCTAGTCACTTTGGCTCGTAACTTCACTAAGTACAGATTATTGAAGTGGAAACCATAAAGTTCAAATTCTGGATCTACCTTTATTTAGATGCATCTTTCGTTACCTTTAAAGGGAAAAGTCCGTTCATTTTATAAGTTGTATTGTTCTGATTGGTTGGTTCTACTATGAATCGATGTGATGTTTTACTTTCAGTTGGTAGAAAAGGATCCAGAAAGGGCAATTCCATTGTTTTGGGCAGCTATAAATGCAGGAGATAGAGTGGATAGTGCTCTCAAAGATATGGCTATTGTAATGAAGCAACAAAATCGGGCTGAAGAAGCCGTTGAAGCTATTAAATCTTTGAGAAGTAGGTGTTCAGATCAAGCACAAGAAGCTCTTGACAACATTCTGTTGGACCTATACAAGGTCTGCTTTCATTTTCAATGTGCAAAAACCTTTCAATTTTTCCTTCTGAATTCTGCCTAACAATAACAATATGCAATGTTGTGATATCTTCAGAGATGTGGGAGATTGGATGACCAAATAAAGCTGCTGAGGCACAAGTTGTTTTTGATACAACAAGGTTTGGCCTTTAATGGGAAGCGGACCAAGACAGCGAGATCCCAGGGGAAGAAGTTTCAGGTTTCTGTGGAGCAAGAAGCAACTAGATTACTGGTAAACAACACAATTCTGAGACATTTTAAATTCTTAGTCTTTTGGTCTTACACAATAGTATAAGATAAAAATCAAGTCTTTTTATATATCTTCCAGGGGAATTTAGGGTGGGCGCTGATGCAGCAAAATAACTACATTGAAGCAGAAGATGCTTATAGGAGAGCACTAGTAATTGCACCAGACAATAACAAGATGTGCAATTTGGGCATTTGTTTGATGAAACAAGGGAGAGTTGGCGAAGCGAAAGAGACACTTCGGAGAGTTAAACCAGCAGTGATAGATGGCCCTAGAGGTGTAGATTCCCATCTCAAGGCCTACGAAAGAGCACAACAAATGCTCCGTGATCTCGAGTCTGAAATGATGAATAAAGGTGGTGATAGAATTGAACAAAGCAAGCTATTTGATGCATTCTTGGGCTCTTCTGCTATCTGGCAGCCTCAGCCTTGCAAGGAACATAATAGCAGCACTTTGAGTAGCAATGCCAAGTCAATCCAACCTCAAGATGAATTTGCTAATGAGAACATCAATTCTACTAACATCATTACAAACCAGACAGCTTCTTCACTGCAAAAGAGTATGTTGAAGCCATATATGAACCTCAATATCGACGCTCCTCCATTTTATTCATCCAAGATTATGAAGGAGCCGGCGAGTACCCTGTTTCCAGAAGGTCTTAAAAGAACAAGATCTGGAAATGCAGCTAACTTTATGAGAAAAGAGTCTCAGGGAACATTCAGAGAACCGGAGAATAAGATGAGAGAGCAGTCAATTTCACCAGAGAAAACAGCGGATAGATGGGCAGGGTTGCTGCCTGATAGCAAGGATTTTGAAGAGGCTATAATTGCTGCTGCTCTGGGCTCAAGTGAAGAAACATTCAAGCCTAAAGATAGTGGAATCCCTCCAAGGAAATTTGACAAAAGATTGAGGGTTTTTCAAGACATTACCTTGTCTATGAGTCCACGAGCCTGACTAACATTATTGATTTTTAACTATGATTAGTAATCTAATTGCATTTTTAAATTAAGTAAGATCATTGATTTTAATCTTTTAACAATCATTGGAGACAAACTTGTTCTCCTTTACTCATACTTCCTCAAGGAGGTTGTATGCAGTGCAGTATGTTGGTACCCTAATGTCTTTAGGCAGGGTATAGTTATTGTTTTGGTGCCTTTGGAATTCAGACATCTTTTATTTTTGCCTATATGGCAACTAATCTTCAATAAAAAAGTTATTTCTTCTTTCTCATGTAATTGGCTTAGTTTCTGTTCTCTTTTCAGACCAAGTTTGTCACTCTCCAAGTGGTATGCAAAATGTCATGCAATCTATGAACAATTCTTGCTCAATCAGGAATAATTGAACAGCGGAATTCTGAATATTACCAACAACACATTTTTATTTAACATGTTTGAGTAGATGAAACATGGAGATTATACACCAAGATTTATTATTGAATAATGAAACATGGAACTATTCAGCTTCCATTGTCTCTTTTATTGTTGATCAGTTTCGGTTTCCAATTTATTACTTCTTTTGAGTTCACCACCAATGTTACTGGAACTGCTGTGGCGAATGCTTACTAGCTCTCCTTCTGTGGATTAGATAGAAGAAACTAAATATTACAACAGCGGCTGCAACAGCAACTCCAACAGCCCTTTGTGCCACCGGGGTGTTCTTCACTGCTAACGTGCCTTTTTCCAATGCGGAGCTGAAAAATGATGAATGTGGTAATCCAAGCTCAGAGAGCTTCTTGTGTGACTCTTTGTAGTCACTGAAGAAAGCCTTTTGGTCCTGTCACATAATTAAGTTTTAAGTAACAGAACAAGCATCAATTATTACAGAAAAAGCTTTGAGTAAGACTGTTTAGCTAGAGAAAAGTTAAACAATTATGCAGCTCTTTTGGCCACAGTAGATGCATACTGTTAAATTAGAAGAAAGTTCTAAAACAGCATTGTTGCTTTCTCGTGATACAAGCAATTCCATTCATTTGCTCACTCATTAACTGAGAGCCTGGACCGGTCATACCTCCCTAAGTTACAACATATTCCAGTGGCATTCCCATAATATGGGTTTTATGCTTATCAAACCACCAAAAGGATATAATGGTCTAGTGCACAAAATTTCCCTTAGCAATCAATGTTGAGACGTGCTGGACTTATCATTCATGTGAGCTATAGCAGCTCTGATACAAGACCAAAAGTTGCAGGGTCATGAAAAGATAAAATCTCCAGTTATTTAGCTGGTCTTGCTGGTTTTATGGTGTTACTTTCCTTCTTGAATGACGCAAATTGTATGATGACATTTTCTGGTGTGTTGCAATAATTGAACTATGACAATCCACATGGTATGAGCTATATGAATAATACCTTCGCATAAAGTTGCACATAGCCGCGGAATTTTGTATCTTCAAGTAGAGCTTTATCAGTGGGAAGTGATTGCAAGAGACCTGAATCCTGCTTGAGGAGCTCCCTAAGAGATCATTGTATCATTTGGGCAAGTAAAAATGAGAATTTTTCTTTTTAATCAATGGCAAAATATAAAGGAAGTCAGAATGTATAGTAATCATACACAAAGTATGAGTTGTCAAATTTAGGGCGCTCAACTCCAGAGCTCTTTGAATCAGCTCTTGCAGCCTGCAGCAACACACAAAAAAAGGAAAATTAAGACAAACTGCACATATGTCTGAGAAATATCAGTATCTTGATGCAGATCCATATTACCAGTTTTAGGCCTGCAGATAATGCTACTATATCCTTGTCTTGAGAAACTTTGATGCTATGAAAGATGTCCCTTAATTCTTTTGGACCTAAAAAAGCGTCCAAAAGAGGAACACAGTAAGCGATATAAGACGTGCGGAGGAATACAACACTGAGCACTAGAGCACTCAGAAATTTATGCCAAATAATATAATTTCTCCAGGATTACTGATAACAGTTTTGGCAATATTCACAATATTAGCAATCCAATCCAGTTCACGGTCACTGTTTATTATATTCAAGAGCTTCACCAGTTGGAATATGCTTTTTTTTTTTCCTTTCTCAAAGGTTCTCCTAAGAAATAAATGGAGTTGCAAGTCAAACACGCTTAGAAGACTATGCAATTAGTGCAAATTAATCACAAAGAAAGTAAGAAACTAAAGAATGTCATTCATGTCCAAGATTATCAACAAGTAACCGTATAGATGCAGAACGAAGCTAAGAGAAATAAATGGAATGATAAAGCTTCATTTATGCACTGAATCAAATCTTTTAAGTGAAATGAATGATCAGCAAAGTCAACACTTTTCAGCTGAACAACCTTGTTTGCCATCAGGCAGGCACCCTTCATTTGGTGAAATTGATGAATCCTGGTATAAAGTTGGAAGTTAGTAATGAAGATAAGTAAGTTCATTTACATGGGTTTATAATAAATAAAGGAAGTAATTAATTTTCCATCCTTCCTTTGCATACCTTTCTACCAGGGATGAATTCGATTATTGGACCATCAAGTTCTTTAACAGCGACAACCCCAGCAAGCTGCACTCGCAAATAAAAAGGTATTCCACTAATTATCACAAAAATTAAGCAGCCCCTTCTCCGAAATAGAAGGGCAGTCTAGTGCACAAAGTTTCCTGTGCTCACACTGGGTTCGGGGAAGAGGGATGTAATGTTGGCAGCCTATCCTGATGCAAGCATCAATGGCTGATCCTACGGCTCGAGCCTGTGACCTATAGATCACACGGAGACAACTTGATTGTTGCTCTAAGACTACCTCCCTTCTCCAAAATGGACTATAAATAATCAACATAACAAGTATCTCACCTGATAGAGGTCAGGATAAGTTATTGTGGGATGATTGACCTTGATATATTCTGCACTCCAGATAAAATATATATAAGGCATTAATTAATTAGAAGTTAGTATTAGCAAAAGAACCACCCGGTTTATCTTTGGACAAAATTAGAAAGAAAAAAGGAATTGACTGCTTCTTGAAAAAAGTAAGATGACTAATTAAATTCTTCAACGTATAAACTTTTTGTTTTTTCGGAAAAAAAACAAAAACTTGCTAATCAATCCTAAGGGGAATTCTCGAATAGAATCGAATGATCAACTTTTCATCTTCAAATGAAAACTCCGGAAAGGTAAGCATAACGAAAAAGTGTTCATGTACTTGAAACTGAAATCAATTAAGCAACAACCATTGCACTAAAAATTGATTTTATCAATGAGAATACTATAAATTTGGTATTAAAGGCTAAAAATGAAGCTCACCAATTGCTGTTCTGAGATCATTATTGGCAGCTTGAGTCTTTATTTTAGCATCAGTAGTAGACGTACTATCATGACCATGAGAATTGGCGGCAGAAGAAATTGAGAATTGGCAAGCGTACGCTAAACGAAGCAGATCACGAGCACTGTACTTGTTGCTGGCTATAAGATTTTGAAGCTCTATTCGTGCTTCCTCTATCTCCTTCCTATACTCCGCATCTACTACTGGTACTGCCATTGATTTATATATAATACTCGGTACTGAAACTTTATATTTCTATATGCCAATAGAGGTCGATCGTCGACTTTTCTTCTAACTTTGATGAATGAATAATTTAATGTTATGAAACGAGGATTATATATAGAGAGAGCAATAGGGAGGGGAATTTTATAAGCATGAAGTGAAGAAGCAACGAATATGGAACAACAAAAGAAACGAATTGGTTATTTTGCTTCTTCTAATGACAACTGAACGTGAATAACATGGAGGGGGCAAATCCGGAAATAAATCGTGCTACGTGTGGTGTGGGTCTTTTATTGGAAAAAGTAAGAATAACCTCTTCGATTGGGCACGAAAGTTAAAGAAAAAATATTGCATTTTTACCTTTCTATACACTTTTGAAACTTTATTACCCCTACTAAGTTTCAATTTAATTACATAAGCATATACAATTTACCAATTATATAAATTTTAGGAATTAAATGAGAATCAATTAACTCCTATAATCTCGCTAACATACATAGCCCACTCCCTCTCCCCCCCCCCCCCTCCCTCCCCACGTTTCTCTGTCCGTACCCCTCACGATTCTGATACTCTCTCCCTCCGTTAACGCTCTCTTCCATTTTTGTTCAAAAATCTTTTATAATCTCTCTCAAACTTTCTGATTTCTATCTCAAAAACCTACGAAATCAGTAACAGCTTAAAATTCTCCTTCCCTTATGATGAAGAAGAAAGGATTTTTAAAGAAAAGTCCTAAAAAAGCTAATGTTGGTGATATTCCTACTTTTGATTTAGATGTTTTCTCACAGGTTCACCCAAAAAAATAGTGAAATCGACATATGCAAAACCAGAGACAAAGTCCAAGCTTTCCCCTCGTGAAGTTAGGGCAGAAATGCGAACAAAACTCAAGCATGACAGGGATGCTGGTAAAGTTTCGACATCTGCTAAATCAGTAAAGCGGAAGGGCAAAGAAATTGCTCGTGATGATGATTTCGTCGAAGAAGAAGTTATCCCGAAACCTGCAAAAGAAAAAATCAAAGTTTCTCCTACTGTCAAACCTTCAAAAAGGAAGAAGGTTCAAAAATCTCCTAAAAATATACCCCAACAGTCACTAGAGAAGTTAAAATTTTAGTATTTACAATTTTTGCTCTTTTTTTAGTTTAAAAACCTGTTTTCATTTCATGACTATACCTATTTTTTATTTTTTTGTATTTGTAGAAATTTTGTCTACATTGTGTATATTTGTTGTTGGTTATCAACTTTCATTTCCTGAAAATAGTAGATTTGTCGTATATTATTACGAATTAAATGAGAATCAATTAACTTCTATAATCTCGCTAACGTACATAACCCCCTCCACCCCCACGTTTCTCTGTCCATACCCCTCACGATTCTGATACTCTCTCCCTCCGTTAACGCTCTCTTCCATTTTTGTTCAAAAATCTTTTATAATCTCTCTCAAACTTTCTGATTTCTATCTCAAAAACCTACGAAATCAGTAACAGCTTAAAATTCTCCTTCCCTTATGATGAAGAAGAAAGGATTTTCAAAGAAAAGTCCTAAAAAAGCTAATGTTGGTGATATTCCTACTTTTGATTTAGATGTTTTCTCACAGGTTCACCCAAAAAAATAGTGAAATCGACATATGCAAAACCAGAGACAAAGTCCAAGCTTTCCGCTCGTGAAGTTAGGGCAGAAATGCGAACAAAACTCAAGCATGACAGGGATGCTGGTAAAGTTTCGACATCTGCTAAATCAGTAAAGCGGAAGGGCAAAGAAATTGCTCGTGATGATGATTTCGTCGAAGAAGAAGTTATCCCGAAACCTGCAAAAGAAAAAATCAAAGTTTCTCCTACTGTCAAACCTTCAAAAAGGAAGAAGGTTCAAAAATCTCCTAAAAATATACCCCAACAGTCACTAGAGAAGTTAAAATTTTAGTATTTACAATTTTTGCTCTTTTTTTAGTTTAAAAACCTGTTTTCATTTCATGACTATACCTATTTTTTATTTTTTTGTATTTGTAGAAATTTTGTCTACATTGTGTATATTTGTTGTTGGTTATCAACTTTCATTTCCTGAAAATAGTAGATTTGTCGTATATTATTACGAATTAAATGAGAATCAATTAACTTCTATAATCTCGCTAACGTACATAACCCCCTCCACCCCCACGTTTCTCTGTCCATACCCCTCACGATTCTGATACTCTCTCCCTCCGTTAACGCTCTCTTCCATTTTTGTTCAAAAATCTTTTATAATCTCTCTCAAACTTTCTGATTTCTATCTCAAAAACCTACGAAATCAGTAACAGCTTAAAATTCTCCTTCCCTTATGATGAAGAAGAAAGGATTTTCAAAGAAAAGTCCTAAAAAAGCTAATGTTGGTGATATTCCTACTTTTGATTTAGATGTTTTCTCACAGGTTCACCCAAAAAAATAGTGAAATCGACATATGCAAAACCAGAGACAAAGTCCAAGCTTTCCCCTCGTGAAGTTAGGACAGAACTGCGAACAAAACTCAAGCATGACAGGGATGCTGGTAAAGTTTCGACATCTGCTAAATCAGTAAAGCGGAAGGGCAAAGAAATTGCTCGTGATGATGATTTCGTCGAAGAAGAAGTTATCTCGAAACCTGCAAAAGAAAAAATCAAAGTTTCTCCTACTGTCAAACCTTCAAAAAGGAAGAAGGTTCAAAAATCTCCTAAAAATATACCCCAACAGTCACTAGAGAAGTTAAAATTTTAGTATTTACAATTTTTGCTCTTTTTTTAGTTTAAAAACCTGTTTTCATTTCATGACTATACCTATTTTTTATTTTTTTGTATTTGTAGAAATTTTGTCTACATTGTGTATATTTTTTGTTAGTTATCAACTTTCATTTCCTAAAAATAGTAGATTTGTCGTATATTATTACGAATTAAATGAGAATCAATTAACTTCTATAATCTCGCTAACGTACATAACCCCCTCCACCCCCACGTTTCTCTGTCCATACCCCTCACGATTCTGATACTCTCTCCCTCCGTTAACACTCTCTTTCATTTTTGTTCAAAAATCTTTTATAGTCTCTCTCAAACATTCTGATTTCTCTCTCAAATACAAACGAAATCAGTAGCAGCTTAAAATTTCCTTCCCTTATGATGAAGAAGAAAGGATTTCCAAAGAATAGTCCTGAAAAAGCTAATGTTTGTGATATTCCTACTTTTGATTTAGTTGTTTTCTCACAGGATTCACCCAAAAATATAGTGAAATCGACAGATGCAAAACCAGAGACAAAGTCCAAGCTTTCCCCTCATGAAGTTAGGGCAGAAGCGCGAACAAAATTCAAGCATGACAGGGATGCTGGTAAAGTTTCGACATCTGCTAAATCAGTAAAGCGGAAGGGCAAAGAAATTGCTCGTGATGATGATTTCGTCGAAGAAGAAGTTATCCCGAAACCTGCAAAAGAAAAAATTAAAGTTTCTCCTACTGTCAAACCTTCAAAAAGGAAGAAGGTTCAAAAATCTCTTAAAAACATACGCCAACAGTCACTAGAGAAGGTAAAATTTTAGTATTTATAATTTTTGCTCTTTTTTTAGTTTAAAAAACCTGTTTTCATTCTCATGACTATACCTATTTTTTATTTTTCTGTATTTGTAGAAATTTTATCTACATTGTGTATATTTGTTGTTAGTTATCAACTTTTTTACATTTTCCTAAAAATAGTAGATTTGCCGTATATTATTCGAAATAATTTTGTTAGGGAATGTACTGCATGATTTAGTAGGTTTTATTGGTTATTATTTGCTCTATTTGTGATGTTAGTTTCATTTTCTGTAAATAAATTGTATATATTATGTCTAGCGGTTAGTTCTACTTTCTTGCTCTAATTACATAAATTCGTCTATTGTATTTGTAGCTTCAATATAGTTCAGTTGTTATATATGTTTGCTAATTTTGTAACTTATTTGTATGCAACGTATTAATGTCTTTCTGGCTGTAGCTAAAGTGTAGTAGAATTGTTATTATTTTAGTTTTTGGTCTTTAAATATTTTATTAACTTATTATTTCTTTTGGTGTAGAATAGAATATTTTTTGTACCATATGATTTTGATTATGGCATCACTAGGTTCCAGACATTATCTGACCCTACTTTTCCTGTCCAAATCAAGGTGTTATTTTCTAAAAATGGGTTAAAGTTGTTTGAGAAGACATGTTTTGGGCACTTTTTTTGCATGCCCAAAATATGTATCCAAAATCAGGCAATTCACCTTCTCATGAAGTATGAATTGAACGTATCCGGTTCTCTTTTTTTTACAGCAGAGATAAAGAGTGAGAGGCTGAACTTGGGTTGAGAGAGTTTGCCTGTATCACTGGCCTTAGATGTTTTACAGAAGTAACAGACTTTGGTTACACAACTAAGTATGACGGTAAAAAAATGAGGAGCTATTTTTCGAACAAGGAAAAAGTTGAGAAGTCGTACTTGAAACAAATTGTAGCCAGCCGTAATTGGGTGAATGAGGATGCAGTCAAGTTGTGTATTCTCTATCTGATAGAATTCTTCCTCTGTCCTTCAGAGAAAGATAATGGTTTGATAGACTACTTTAGGTTCTATTTGGTGGACTCGGCGCAGTATGCGAATTTCGCATGGGGTATCAAAGCTTATACACAAAATAAAGAGGGCTTTTGTATCTATACCCGATTTTGGGGTCACAATTGAACTTATACCCACTTTGCAAAAAAGGCTTGCAAGCACACCCACTTTACGATCAACTTCAGACTTATGGGTCTGAAGTTATAAAAAAAACCTGAAGTGAAAAAATTGCACTTTTAATGCATAAGGCAAATAGGTCTGAAGTGCAACCAATGGTTTCATGCACTTAAGGCTAATAAGTTTGAAGTGAAAATTGCACTTTAGATGCACTTAAGGCCAATAAGTTTGAAGTGAAAAATTGCACTTCAGATGCACTTAAGGCCAAAAAGTCTGAAGTGAAAATTTGCACTTCAGATGCACTTAAGGCCAAAAGGTCTGAAGTGCAACAAACGTTTACATTCACTTAAGGCTAATAAGTCTGAAGTGAAAATTGCCCGGAAACAAAAATTTGTTCTTCGAATTATAACAATCCAATATACGATTTAATACCTAAATCTACTCCA